TTGCTGACAAGCCACTTGGGTGGGCCTTGAGCAACCCAGCCACCTGGAACCCATGAACGGTCAGCCCATAGAGGGATGCTGCGGTGCCAACACACTCCACAATCTGTAGTCCCGTCAGCGAGCGAGACAAGTAGTCCAGAAACACGGTAAACCCTGTGGCGCCAATTTCTCCTAATACCTGCGTCGCCGGGGATTTGCCAACCGTCATCCCAGGAAAGGTCTTGAGTAAGTCTGGTGGTGGAATGCCCAGTCGAAACGACGTCGTGCCTGTATAAGGAAAATCGACGGGATTAGCCACAATGCTAGCAAACGTCTCGGGGGCACAGGGTCGCGATATCGGGGTCATGAACAGCCACGGGCGAAGGATCAGCTGCCATGACACTTCCCGCACCTCGTTGCCCACCGAGAACGACACGGTGCCATGCAGGTCTGCGACGCCCGAGTGACCATGAACCTCCAGCTCCCACGTCACCGTTTCGGCCAATTTCTGGGTCAAGGGCTGCGGTACCGTAAACGTGCCCGTTACCGGATGCGCTGATACGACCGTCACCGGGGCAGGCATCGTGAAGAGCGTGGACGAAGATGTCGTTGGGGAAAAGTCAAACGCCAGCTGCTCAATCGCCTGCGCGCTGCCCCGGGGCAACTCATTGTACAGGGTCAAATTCACCATCACTTTGTGAGTGGAGGAGGAAGAGGAGCCCTGGTGAGGTGAAAGCGCCCTGGCAAGGCCGGTACTGCTCCCGCCGTAATCTTGGATAAAGTGTGGCTGGTAGGTCTATTTGACATGACACAGCAAAGAAGAATACCAATTGCCATCAGCCCTTATTCGCATGGCAACAGTGTGAGCCACAAAAGATAAAAACAAGCAAGAGCAAGCGCATCAAGCATTCCGTCATCGGTTTCCCAAATACTACTTGTGCTCTGACCAGCTATTAAGCAAACGAAAAAATAGGGTTACATCGCTACTTACGATTCGCAACCCTTGGTCGTGGCATAGCGTGGGGTCTACATGGCGTTGCAGCTGAGCAAAATAGTCCTCCGCAGAGGTTGATTCTGCTTGATCCAAGGACAAAGGGTTTGGTGGCGAGGCATTGTGAGTGGGCAGGCCCTGGGGTTGGGCAGCAGCCGCGGCGGCTTGGTGGCCTGCTTTTGCGCGTCGTTTGGATCTCTCTTTGCGGTCCTTTTTCGAGTCCTTGCCGGCTTTCTTTTTGTCGGAATTGGGGGAGCGCCGTTTGGAGTTACCCGCTGACACTAGTAGGGCAGCTTGCGTGGGTGAGGCTGGGCGGTGGCGGCGCTGCGCCTGAAGCCAAAATTCATTTTGTTCCTTGCGGCGAAGCGCATCGGGATTTTCATAAGGGGTAGGTGCATAAAGCTGGTTGCTCTCAAGTGGTGCTGTCAGATCGACGCTGTGTAGGGCTTGTACTTCAGGCTCATGCAACGCCAGAACGTCTGCAGATTCGGGTTGAGGCAATCGAATAGCAGCCGGGGCAGAGCGACGAGTCAGGGCTTCGTCCTCGGATAGCTGAACCCCTTCGGGCATCTCTTCCGGGGCAAACACCACCGATGGTTGTCTAACATGCGGTTGGACCGAGCGCTTGGCCAGCTGACGACGAGCAGATGGCTTCCTGATCAGCTTGTGAGCCTGTGCTCCATGTTTGTGCTTTCGCCGATGGCGCCGCGCTACCTCTCGGTGGCGATCAGCTACGATATCGCTTTGGCATACTACCCCCAAATCATCTAGATTCAACTGAACAATGGGGATCCGGTCCACATCGCTTAAATCGCTGCCATCCGCTTCGGCTTGAACCTGGGAACGCCGAGGTGGAGAAGATATGTAAAATGGATCATTGCGACGGGACTGGCGCCGTTGGCGATGCTAGAGTTACACAGCAGTAGAAAAGCAAAAAACCATATACAAATGAGAAAAAAAAAGGCATAGCGTAAAGTATTTGCTAATGCAAAGTTGCTAAACCAGCTCAATGCTGCCCAACCTAAAACCTAGTGAAAAACTACGCCACAATGCTTACCGATGCCTTATCGGTACGATCAAGCGTGTCAGATTGCTCCTCCCTATCGCGCAGCTCTTCCAAAGCATGCCGGCGAGGAGATGGACGATGGTCCTCTGGCACTAAAATAGGAAATCCATCCGATGTGCAAACTGGGGTCAAGGGAGGTGACTGAAGCGTTTTAACGGAATGGTGGGATCTGCGGCCGCTTGACCGGGACCCACGACGCTTTGAGTGCTTAGCACGGCCTTTAGTGGCTGGTTGGTCCAACAGAGCGTGCGCTTCGGCACGTTCACGGGCGGTGGGCTCGTGGTCGCATTGGATGACTAAACGGGTGACCGACTCGCAATCAGACTGCTGGTAAGCAGCCAAAGCGTCCATCGCCTGAGGGTTGAATGGCGTGTCCAAGTCCAGACCTTCGGGGATGGGAACTTTGGCTTGAGCGCGTGGGTTGACCGGATTCAACTCCCGGGCCACCATGGTGGTGTACAAGTCATGGCATAGGGAAGGCAAATCGGGCCACCTGGTCGGGATAACCGCAATAGGTTCGTGCTTGGTAGCAGGCGACGCAGTAACCGAGGTGGTGGGAGGCTTGAAATGACGGACTGATTGCACCAGGTGAACCAGTGCCAAGATGCTTACAGCGCGCTCGTGCACCTCGAGGTCTCCACCGCCCGCGTACTGCTCCACACAGTCAGCCACGGTATCCATCATGGCCCAAAAGGCCTTCCAGCGCGAGGCACCATACTCAACCATCGGTTCAGCGCCAGCACTGGGGAAAATTGCCTTGTCAGTCCAAGCCCCCGTGGACTCTGGTGGCAACGAGGGTGGAGAGCGCGTGGATTGTTGGGCTTTGACAGCCTCCTGGCTCACCCGTGTGGATTCTTGCCACGCCCAAAACGCAAACACCTTGGCGATGCTCTGCAGGTAAATAGTCTGGATTGCCGGCGAACATAACTGGCGAACTAACGGATTGAGCAGGTACTGGAGGGTAGTGATGGGTGAGTACTGTAGCTCACAGTATTCACCAACAATCCAAGCAGCTGCATAAAGCACTTCAGCGTTGGACTGCGGCTGGCGCGCAGACTCGATCAAGGTTTGGTCCGCCAACAGTCGCACCATCATCTTTAGGGCGTACTCGCGAATGCTCTTGACTCGAACAGTAACTTCCGTGAGTTGGTGTCGGAGCGCCATACCAACGTTCACGTTGGACACATACACCAGGTCAACGAGAACTGCCACGTACCATTCAAAATTAACCACTTGGGCAAAAGTGCGTTGGGAGCACAGGGCCAGGATCTGCTCCACCACGCGCAATCGGTACGCGGGCTGTTCGGTAAACGCTGGTCCGGTGGCCATTTGGCCCTGGGCATCTGGGCCTGCGGCAGAACTGGCAGTTAACTGGGCCATCAACCTTTTTACCACATCCATCAGGTTACGGCGAGATGTGAGCCCGCTCACAAGGTCCAGTGCGCGGGCGCAAATGTTGGCATCGCGATCCTCCAGGCATTTCAGGATCTGTGTGCGTTGCTCGGCCACCAACGAGGGATATTTTGCCTGCAGCTCGGTCAGTGCCACCAGGCCCAGATACCGTACATTGTGGTCGGGGTCCCGGATAAACAACTGCAGCTTGGATGCACACAACTTGGCAAGCGGGGGTGGTGCATCCGGGCCAGCGGGCGACGCTGACGACGTTGGCACGTCCACAATGCCCCCAATAATTGCCGTGTGAATGCATTCGTATAGCACTGACACAGCTGGTGTTTTCTGCACCAGCGATGTTATGGGGTCAAGCAGTTTCTTGGCCAGTCGAGGTTCCAGTGGGGTCAGCGCAGCAAACAGCTTGGCAATTTTGATGAGCATCCAGTTGTTGCTGCTCTCGGTCAGCAGACGGTACATGTGCGGAGCCAAGGGAAGGTAGCTCCTGGGATTCTTGCGGGCCAATTCGCAGATTACGTTTACGGTGGCCGAAACAACCGACGGATCTGGGTGCTCCAACTTTTGCTTCAGCACGGGAAAACTGGCCCGTAGCGCGTCGGGGTATTTGAGAAACACCTTGTAGAGCGTCAGGATTGCCCGCTTGGTCACATAGGGTCGTGAGTGGTTCAGCAGGTTCAAGGTATCCTGGCTGAGGTCGCGGGCCAAGTCTGGGGTGGCAATATGAGCGAGTCCGTCCAGGGCTACTGCCACTTCCATTGGATTGCTGGCGGATAGATCCTAACCCAGTAGTTTACCAACCGCGGCATATCAAGCTCCCACCATTCTCCATCAGCATACGTGCCGTCTGTGGCTAAGTGGCCTAGAATGAAGAACCAATTCCCAGGTATAAAATAACCACTTGCGAGCTATGGTGGGTCAGTGGCCGAGCAGTTTACCTTGCGAAGTAAGTTAGTGCACAGCATAAGGATTTCGGTGTCTTGCTGAAACGTTTGGACGGCTGCTAAATAGCCGCACCGCTTATGCGCGAACCGTGCCGCTGCCATCACTTCGAGGATGGGAAACGCCGCCCACGAGCAATCGTAGCCCAGCATGTGCAAATAGGTCAGCTTGGCGACGCCCAAGTACTTGCGGTAAGGGTCATTGGACTTGAGCTCGGCCCGAATCTCGTCCACGCAGGCGTTGATGTACTTGTGCTCATTGTGCTTGTTCGCGCGGATACCGCGGATAAGGTCGGAGAGGGTCTTTTCAAACATGGCGACGCAGTCTGAGCTGTACAAGGCGCAGTGCAAGTGATAAATGGGCAAAAGATGCAGGCCAGCCACCGCGCGCGTCAATGGGTGCCAAGAGGGTAGCGTGGTGGTAGGAACCCTTGCTAGTCTCAGGAGCTGAGCGGTCATCCTGCCATTGGCGAACACTTGGAAGCCAGCGGACCGAACAACGTCACGTGGATACAGAAGTGGATCAAGGTCAAATGCCTACAAAAAATGAATACACGTTTGCTGCAGTCATTAGGTTTTTAGTATTTGTATCATATAAGAATAAAAATTTTAAGGCGCCTGGCTAGCTCAATCGGTAGAGCGTGAGACTCTTAATCTCAAGGCTGCGGGTTCGAGCCCCGCGTTGGGCTCTCTTTTTGTAATTTTGTGTCGCAGGGCCGGTGGGTTGGCCTAAGAAATTATGAAAGAAAAGAAAAGTAACCAGTGTGGTGGGGAACCCACCTCAAGCCCTAAAACCGTCTAATAGCGCCGTTTTCAGTGCATTGGGACTACCAACTGTGT